CCTCGGACAGGCCAAGTGGCTCGCATCGACCGAGCTGCCTTAAAGGCTCACGCCCTGCCCACGATCAAATTCGAGACGACCAACATCCGACCACAAAAAAGGCCCGCGCGTGCTGCGCGGGCCGGCGAGCGACTAGCGAGCCAACCTGCTAGTGAGGATATAAACTGGGACGACGCAGCGGAGGGGATAGGCGAGGGAATCGAGGGGCCGGAGGGCTTTCGCGACAGCGACGATGACGACGAAGGCAGGGGGGGAGCCGGAGGGGCGACACGCAGGAGGAGCGAGATCGCGAACGGCCCGAGCAGAGAGGGCGACGGCGGGGCACGAGGGAACAACGGAGACGCTACCGATGACGCGAACCGAGGCACGGACGACGGAGGGGACGGGGAGGGCGACAGCGACGTCGAGGTTGACGCAACCGTATCGAGAGCGCCACCCAAAAGGAGGCGGACAGCCATGGAGGTCTCCAAATGGAGGGCGAACGGCACGATACGAAAAGGCAGGGCGAGGCGGATGGAGAAAGAAGTGCCGAGAAGGCCATGGTGGAGGGGAGGGATGGGAGGACGAAAGAAGGGCGAGGAGGACGAGCGGCCCGCACAGGCCGCGAGCAGACAGCGCCTGCTGGCCATCTCAAGACATTCGCAAAGAACGCTAGCTACATGGGAGGGCTTCGTGAAGGATGGATTGAAATACATTCGAACAAAGAAGAGGCGACGGGAGGAACCGGCGGAGGATGCAGTGACGTGACACACACACACACACACACACACACACACACACACACACACACACACACACACACACACACACACACACACACACACACACACACACACACACACACACACACACACACACACACACACACACACACACACACACACACACACACACACACACACACACACACACACACACACCGCTCACCCACGCGCTCTGGGCCTTGGACTTTGAATGTCGTGGGGCTCCTGTCGTCAGACGTGGAGACGCGAGGGTTGCCCCCCCCTTGCCCCACCACCTCGTGTGTGTGGAGAAGTTTACCTTACCTTACCTTACCTTACCGCGGAGTTCCCAGCATTGTTTTCTCTTTCCTCGAGACGATTGCGGCTTCCGCTGGAGCGCTCGTCCCCGCGGGCAAGAGGCGATATACGGCGCTGCCTCCGCACCGCTACGCGATGACACAAGCGACGCAATCCCGGCGACATGCAGGCACCCAATGCTGTGCCGGAGGCTGACTGGTCGAGGCGGTCGACCTCGTCGTGGCTCTCCCACGCGCCGCCGCTTCTCGTGTGGACAGCTGGTTCGGCTCGGACGCAGTGGACAAGAGGACCACCACATTCGCTGGCACACCGCGGCCGACGCTGTCTGCGCTCCCACGCAAGCGCCGGTATCCAAATCGAATGCATTATACTGCGCTTACTGCGCGACGCCGCCTACCTCAGACTCTCAATACCAATGCGCACGCTCCGGCATCGACTACATACTACATTGGTCTGCGCGAATTCGAGGCGCCGTGCGACGTTTGAGGCGGACAGCCCTAGGCGACACGGCGTCTGTGCTCGTGTTTATTGTGCTCGTGCTCAAGCAAGAAGCATCAGTGCGGGTACATGCGGTCCTACCACTGCACACAGTGCTTCCCGGACCCGAGCCAGGTTGGCTACGCGATCTTCAGCCCGGTCGGGACAAAAGCTGGCGACCCTCACCGGCTTTGCCAAGCACCTGCTCGAAGAGGAGCCGTCGCATCGGGCACAGCAGCGCCCCCCGCCGCGACGCGGCGATCGTCCATCGCCGTACCGGCGACCTGAGCCTGCGCCTGTGCCGGCAGCGGCGGCGCCGTCCGCCTCGGTGCCGCGTGC